TACTACCTTTTACTCTACTGCCATAACCTAACTACTCTGTAAGACTTAAAACTGTGAAGGAATACAGTCAGAGAACTGAAGAAAAAGTCATCTGAAGTAATTGGGGCAAAAACAATTGCAATGTTTTTGATTCAAGGGGAACTTCCCCAGCCTCATCCCAACATTCAAGTAAAGCTCCTACACAAAATGGCTGGGACAATCCAATTCAGATGTTCCAAGAATCAAGCATTTCCAGAGTGATATGAATTCATTTTGTAAGCACAAAATAAGGTTTATTTAGCAAACATATAAAATACCAGTATATACTGTTATTTTTACCATTGGGTGAGGATCTAAGCCATCCAGCATTCGTCTGACATTGTTTACAATCTCTCTGGTATCGTAGTTTGGAAGTTTGCAAGCCCATCCAGTACCAATTCCTTCAGCTCCATTTACTAAAACCATAGGAATGATGGGAATATACCACTCAGGCTCTACACGCTGGTTGTCATCGTAAAGGAATTTAAGCAAGTTGTCATCCACTGATGGAAAAAGCAGCCTTGCTAAAGGGCTTTAAAAAAGAAAAAGAAGAAAACTGTTTAACTAGAGTCCAGTAAGTAAAGTACATAATGCTTTAGAAGTTCCTGGGTCCAGATATTATCTACTTGTGCATTTTTCTCATGTAATCTGTTCTCTTTGCTATTCTGAAGCTGAAAATACAATGTACATGCCTCCTGAGAAAAAAAGTTCTTCCCAAGAGAAGACTGTGCATCGCAAATGATGTTTGTTTCCTTCACAATAACACGCATACACGATACACTAGTAATTGATGACATTCAACATCTACAAAAAAACACCTCCTTGAAGCATTCAGAATACACAGTTCAATGTGACAGTAGATCACCCAGTAATGGTTGTGTTGCAACACAACATGCAAATAATTGCAAGTATAGAGGCCTAGCAGTCTCTGAAAATACTATAGATGTTTTACTGGTGACTCCTTTTGCTGATCTAGAACATTCTGCTGGGTGAATAAAATTTCCAGCACCTCACACAAGAAGGAAAATGTACAAAATAGGTTGCTACAGAAAGAACATGTATGAGACAGGAAATAAAACCTGATACATATGTAGAAAGCTTACAATTAGAGGAGAAGAAGAAACTACAAGGAATTTTAGGCAAAATATCACATTGAAATTAGGAAATAAAAGCAGCAACATAACTTACAAAATACTATAATTTATATTAAGGAACATATTCTAACACTCAGCACTCCCAATTGAATTTCAAGTTATTAGCTGTGAAAAATCAATATCATTAAATAAGATCTTAATTATTAATTGTCTGTATAATTTAGCTTGATATGAAGAAACTCATCTAAACTAGAAAGAATCCATTTCAACTTTCAAGTCTATGCTGAGTTACAGAACTTACCACAAGGTAGTAATACACTAGTAGTAATATACTAGTAGAAATACTACAGTACTGAGAAACTGAGTAGATTTCACACTGAACAGGGAAACTGAAAGCTACTTCTTCAAGAAATCGTAATTTAAGATCAGTAACTAACCTGAGTGATCTACATTTTCAGTCTTCAATCTTATGATTCAAAGTTTAATTCCTTAAGAACTATGACTTCCACAGCACTTCTATGCATAGGAAATCATGCAAAAAAAAAATCCCATGTGCAATACATGTAAAGAGGAATTTGAGCTTCTATCTAATTGTACCAATCCCCCCCCCGCCATTCTGCTCCCACACAAAAACCTGCAGCATTGTGAAAGGATTAGTTTCATAACAAGGCTTTTTAAAAGCATGCATTTATCTTTACCTTAACATGGTAAAAATATAGCGAGGGCTGGCAGCATCCTTTCCACCATGAAGCCTGGTACCAAACTGACCAATAGGTTGCAGCAGATTAACATTGTTACTTCCAACAAAGTTCTGAGCCAAGTTGACAATAGTCATCATTAATGCTTGCTGCAAGAAAATACATAATCATAATAGTAAGGAGAGACAGTCTCTTCTAATCAGCCAATAAAATATATTTTTAATGTCCAAAAAATGTGTGATGAACCCGAGTTCAATTTCAAAAAAGTAGTGTCCCTGAGAAAGGAATGGCTGATGGCAAAACATAATGTTTCCTCTTCCACAGCCACACTGCCTTTCTGATTTAAGTGTCCTTACATTCTATGATTATGAAAAGACCTAGGCTTCTCTATTTTTTCTAAAGTGCTTCACTGGAGGAATAAAAGGGGTACAAACTGACTGCACTGACTTCACAAACTACCACTCATTGCTTTTAAGGGGAGAGAAGTAGGGATAGACTGAATATGGACAGGGAGGGGAGACTGAATATGACAACTCTTGCTAATAATTCAGATAAATATAAACAAAACAGGAGCTAGAAATAATCATTGTTCCAATGCTGTATCAGGTTTTCAAAGAACAGTTTCTCTTAAAAGACTGTATTTCTTGTTTAAGACAAAAATTGTCCTAGCACATAGTTCCTATATTGCTATGATTTGAGAATCTAAAAGTTACTTAGGTAATTAGAGATCTAATGTTTTGCCACAACTCACAAGCTACATGGGATACTACTGTGCACAAAGACTTGGAAAGAAAGGAAATATGTTGTCTTATTAACCTATAAACTGGTTCATTTTCTTTAGAAGTGTATCTGTGATTAGTACTCAATAGGTTTGCAATTTCACTACAGCAAACATTTACCTAATATTTTGTATTGACTGAAAATCCCCACAACTTTACCATCCTTCATACTCACCTCCCCATGGTGATAAGCTGACATTTCAGCAACAGAACCAGCCAGCTGAGCAACCTTTACTTCACGTTTATCATTTCTCTTAAAGCAAGTGAATAAAACTTTGCGTTGCCCTGGTTTTAAACCTATTAAGAAGAATATCCCATTTTCAACACATACACAAGCATATGTTTTTAAGTAATAAACTTGTTTTGCCTTATTATAATTTCTGATCTCTCAAGAGAAGCCTAAACATTAAATAGAAACAAATTCACACTGTAATATTAACAAAATAAAAAAAATGTATCTCAGATCTTTTAATAAAAAATACTTTACCAAACTGAAAGTTACCAGGAAATTGGAAAAGCAACCCTTTCAGTTAATCATTACTATGCAGCACATAATACTTCATTCTAAGGAACAGCAACTTTATACTAAATGTACAGCTTCCACGAGTCATGAGTTGTTTCCTTCCATTCAGCTTTGCAAAATCTTTTTCTTAAGAATATCAACACAAATTTGGCAGTGACAACTCTAACTGTAGCTTACATGCATTTTAAAGCACTCTGAAATTTAACTTTTTGTGTGAAATTCTCACATACTCATTAAAATTCAACAAAGAGATATGCTATTTTTCTCCCTTTTAGATCTTCTAGAGTTTTAAGAAACAAGCCAGGCTATTTGATTTTCTCATTTATTTTTATTGTTTAGGCCCACTGTAAGTACAATATCTGTGTGGAAGGGACTGACTCATTTTTTCTGCATGTTATCTAGAACTGACAACCAGTTCTAGATCACACTTATTGATCTACTCAGTGTTTTAATTCACATACATTTCTGAAATGCACTAAAATATTGCTGCGTGTTACCATTACTAACTTGGATCAAGTGTGAAAGCAAAAACTGAAAAACTGAAAAAAAAGACGCCGACCACAATTTCCATTTAATTTAAATATGTATCATCCAATTTTCTTAACAGTGGGCCTGCATTGTATTCTTCTACCAAAAATATGTTCGATGTAACAGACTTAGAGCTCTGATTTCCTTCACACAGGAGAATCACCAAGGAGTAAGAATGATAACTAGTAACTGTGAAAAGATAGTAAAAATGGTCTTCCTCTTTATTTTTTCTGAGATTTGCCACCAGACTAGCCTGTTATATATCACCTGATGATACTGAAGAACAAAAACCATTGCTAGCGTACTACACTTGCTAGTGTATATTATGCAGAATATTATAACACTGTATACACTACATATATAACATATATAGTGTTATATATAATATTATGTGTTATCTACGGCAAGTTTATTATTTATTTTAAGTTTCAGCAAATTTATTCTGCTGTTTCCGAGAAAGTAGCCAACAGATTATGTTATCAGGAACAATGACCTCTTGAAACGGGAGAGGTGCCTGAGGACTGGAG